TTATCGCAATAAATTTTGAGACAATTAATCRCCCAGCAAAATTTGTTATCGTGACAGGCCTATTCACAATAGTAAAAATCTGACGTGCAGTTAATGCAATGCAAATTAAAATTGTCTTTTCTAACATAAAAGTGTTTTTATCATTTGTTTTTGCTTTTATTCTCACAGAAAAGCATCAGTAAGAGTACCATTATAATACTAAATTGAGGTCAAAGATTAGTAGTATCGATCAATTTCTGAGAAATCCCATCCCTATGCACAACTCCCCAAACAAAGCAAACTTTCTAGAGAAATAAACTAAAGTTTGATTAAAGCAGATTAAACAGGGCTGGTGTGAATGTACCCTCAAAACAAATTATGCCAACTCTGACAAACAATTTTTTCCCCATTTTCAATGAAGTGAGCAAAAACTCATGCTATATAATACACAAAATATTTTGTAAATTCAGCTGCATCCTGTGTGAGGAGACATGTAGTGTGAAAGGCTGCAGCATTATTTGCAGTGTATATAAATGACTTCAGAGGGATTTCAACATGAAGCCTACCTCAATCCTCCCGGTGTCTGGCTGGAAGCCTCTGGCTGGGTCTTCGGTCGTCACTCTACACTGGATCGCGCAGCCGTTCACCCTGATCTTGTCTTGTTTGAGGCCAAGCTCTGGCAGGCTGCGGCCCTCACACACATGCAGCTGGGCGTGCACCAGGTCCACACTGTGGGAGACCAGAGAGATAATGAGGCGAACAGGCTGAATGACAACCAGAAYGCGATGTGAACAGCTCAGTTTCCTGTGAGTTCAGAAAACCTTTTACAAGTACATCAACATTTATTCTACAAAAAGTTTTGGTGTCTTGATATGAAAATCAGGAGTGATATACAGTATGTGGAGTGAAGAAAAAACTGTACCTCAAATGTTTTTGTGGTGATTTGTTGAAAAACTAAGTTAAATCGAGTTCAGGTCTTTTTAGGTTTCTGAGAAAAGATGACCAACCGTTTCTATTGTTGGGAGCAGGAATGTGAAGGGATGAATGGTGTCCTAATACCAACAGCCTGATACCAGCCTTTTTACAAATACTCATACAAAATGCCCCGATACTCGGAACAGATACTGATACCACTATTCATAGAGTTTAACTTATTTTTAAGTGTTGCAACTAGGGATGTCCCGATCAGATACTCAGTATCGGTGGCAGATATGGCCATTTATTGAAAATCAAGTAGAAACAATTTAGTCATGTGATCGGGCCGATCCAGTTTTCGTGACAGTTTTCAGCATCATCATGCTTAACAACTGCTGTTAAGAAGTCAAGACGCACACAAGTATGCAACCATGTCCACAGTGTGGGAACACTTTTCAATGGAAAACAATGATGCTGAAACTGCTTCTTGCAGATTCTGCAAACTGAATGTTTCTTGTGATGGGAACAGCAGGGCTCGCTTTAATACTACCAACCTTGTCACTCAGAAAGAAATTTTATAAAAARCTATCGGATAGTTATCGGAAAGACTAATCGTTAAAAAAAATCGGATTGTATCTGGAACCAAAAAATCTGGATCAGGACATCCCTAGTTGCAAACGTACATATCATGATGTATATTTGATTTGATCCAGTCAGAGGGACTGTAGGCCTATAAAGGAGAGCCACCTTGTTCTAAATAAAAATGTGTTTTTAAAGTAATTGTGTTTTCTAACTTAGTAGGTACTCAGTATCGAGACTTTGTACCAACAAATGTCCAAACGGAAGTACTGAGACTACGTTTGAGAAAATTGGTATAAATATATAAACAAAGTACTCAATGTGAATATTTCATTGATTAAGATCGGGAGTTAGCGTGCGTTGTTTAAGTGTTCCCTTTATTTTTTTTGAGCAGTAGTGTTCCCTTTATTTTTTGAGCAGTGTATAACAAAAAACAACAACACAGACACAAAGTTTCTGTAATGTTTGTTTTAGACGACTTACACCAACTTATGAAAAGATTTTTCAACTAAATTACTAATGGTTATTTTTTATTCAATGTAGATGTCTCAAAACTTTCATAAGTTGGGATAAGTGTGACTGGGCTTTTAACCTTTCAATAAATATATTAAACACAACACATGTAGAACTTCCTGTCTGAGAACCAAGTCACATGGTTAGGTGAGGCCATGGGCAATGGAGAAAAGCTGTTGTCAGACTCTGAAGACAGATCTGAGTGATTGGTCCACAGCACTCAGAACTGGATCAAATCCCTGCATTTAATTCATGCTTTCAATTTGAACACTGGCTATCAGAATTAGAAACATGTCTACACCTCACGTCTTTTTCTCTAAAGGTTTTTCAGCTCTTTTCCAGTCCAGTCACGTGGGCACAGCCGGTGGTATTTGGTTAACATGCCCATYCCTAGATAACATCTCTTTAAAACAACCTTAGCTTTATCTAGTCTGAATGAGATAAGACAAAAGTGAAATGCTGCCACCTTAAAACAACTGCAGTGTCAAAAGCTGTTTGTTTTATCAGTTTTAGTTTATCAGTTTTCAGTGTTGTGTGGTTATTTGCAAACACAAATAGCTAACTGTAGTCTGTGTGGTTCAGCTTGGTGAGCTTCTTTAAAGGAATATAATTCAGCTGGAATAACCATGACAGCAGTGTGAAAATCTATGAATTAGTTTTCACATGCACCAAACCATCAGAAAAATTAAAACTCCATTTCYTCAAACTGAGGCCCGACACCGATGTCAACACTAAAAATGGATCTGTAGAATCAAACGGTGGATCAGTAAATCTACCACTTTATTTTCATTTAAACCTGGATCCTACATTAACACAGAATATAGATCATATCTGCAGAGTCTGAAGCATTTCTGTGACTAATGACAAAACTGCTGCAGTCAATAAACCCACGACTTTACTCCTCTGGCTTTGATTAATTCTGATTTTAAAAAATGCCTATGTGACATTTTGGTGTATTGATAACTGTGTGTTGAGGTTGACCTGTAAAAATCAATTATATCAACATTGTTAGGGATAGCTTTCCAATCATTTAAACGTTTAGCAAACTGAGCTCACAGTATTATTCTCTTGTGTATAATCACAACATGGTAATTTTTAACCCAAACTCACGTACATAAGCAGAAGTATTAATGGTTAAGTTTGTTTTTCRTTTTAATCTAATCTAGGAGACAATCTAAATGTTCGCCTGGCAGAGTGCGCTTGAATTTTCTTCCAATTCCCTGAGCTCCAAGCCTCATTAATGCTGCCTCATCCGTATGCATTTATTTAAGTTTTAAGCTCAAAAGAGACCAACTGGGTTAATATTCACAACCCTGTTCAATCTACTTCACTTCTTTTTTTACTGTTTTGCCCCTTTTTCAGTTTTCTAGAAACATTTTAAAGAGTTGTTAACGGACAGTGGGAGGGAAAACCATTCTTACATGGCAACAAATGTCCGACTGGGAAAACTCTGAACAGTCATGGGTTAATGTGGGAAGTAAATTCAAAAATACCGGYCTTTTGTCCTCTTATTTTACTATTTTTCTGCCTACAACGTGACTAAACACAAGAAAAACTTTGCATCGGCTTTTTCTTTAAAAGAAATGCAGGTTTTCTCCTAAACAACTGATAATAGGAATAAGTTCAGACATTCTCAACGGTTACAGAAATTACTGCGTATTTCACCACGTTTCTCATTTAGTTAAGATACCAACATTTAGTCAAACTGAGCTTAAAGATGTATGAAATCAAACTGGAAACATTTCCAAAGACGATCCACAATGTTAGATCTGGGACAACTTATTCTTAAGACTCTAGGGAGTAATAAGCTTGTCAGCGCTTCAGCTTGTTCCAAATTGCCAAAAAAAAGCTTCATAATGTAAATTTATATTTCTATATAACCCTGTTTATTCAACACGCAGCCATGAGTTCTTCTGAACAGCTCTGTTGCACTGAAATTTTAAGGATATGCAGATCAAAAGTACTTTAAAAATCCAGTCCATATTTCTAATTTAAAGCCATTTAGAAGTAGGTTTAGGCTGCACAAAAATGATATTTGGTTTCTTAGTTAATCAGCTGATTACATTAGAATAAACTCGGACTTTAAAACAAATGTTTAACTACATCTTGTTACCGACTGTAATGAAAGTTTTTGCTAATAATGTTGCTAGTTTAAACAAACTGAAGATCTTAAGTAACTTGAGAACCTTCATACTAACAGTAACTAAGTAGAAGTTCAAGGATTCCACAGTCAATGAAAGAATAAGTTGCAGTCAGGTGTAGCTAATCAAATATGTTTAATGAGCTGAGAACCACCAAGTGTGAGAACCTCTATAGAAGATCTGATTGTCACGGTTCAGCGGTCTGAACAACTCAGCCGTGTTTAAAAACAATGCTACAGTGGGACGATACCAGCAGAGATATTTGATTTCATTAGAATACAAGTTTGAATTAAAAACAAATGATGGTCCAGAAAGTTCAAACATTAGTAACGAGTTCAACGTTTCGGTTAATTACAGGTAAATTTGAAAATAAAATTAAAAAGAGAACAGGTTGCCTAAAGACGCTGTAGCTTTTAAACAAATATTTAAAAACATTTATTTTCCTTTTCAAGTTTATTACTGACGAAACATCAAGAGTTTGATTTTGCTCTTATTCACAAATGTTTTTTTTTAAAGCTTTAGACTTTCAAATTCTCTTCATTACTTTTAGTTTTTGCCACGTTCCAGTACTTATTTTCAAATGTGAACACGGACTACAGAAAAATCCAAATTCTATTTTGCCCAAAGCCCCAGAAAGGATCCCGTCCTTCTGATCTGCAGTATTAACTTGCCCAAGGTCTGCTCCATCTATTAATTGGTGAAAATTCAATTAAAAACTAATTAAGTTAGGAATGCTCAGCAAACAAGCAGAATAACACCCGAYGAGGAGGTCTAAATGTCAGATTTTGTCTGTGGGTTCCTCTGAGGTGCGTGGCTTCAAAACTACATTAGGTAATATCACAAGTCAGTCTGAGGGCRACACTGTTATTGATATTGTGTTCAGGTCTCGTTAGTCAGAAATTACAAAAGAGGTCAAATATAACAGCATATTAGCAGTTTGCTTCAACATTCTGCAAGAAGGCAAATTGTTACAATGCAACTTATTAACATATTAACTATTTTTAATTGTTTTTCTTCTTTCTACATTTTCATTTAAGAAATTGACTATTTCATAAGAAAAAACACTCAAAATATAATGTATTTTACCATTTTGCACCGATCTCAACTGCACGTCTCAAATCAAAGCATTTAAAACCGTTAAAAAATTGCTTTATTTTCATTACTATTCCATAGTTTCTAAACTTTTCTGCCTTTGACCCACAAAATGACAGCAGCAGAGACCTCCCTAACTATTTTTGGGTGATATACTTTGGTATCAGGTCAAATAAAAGGTTTAMAATATTAATTATGCTACTTTTATCCATTTTAAGGGCACTAACATCACTGTTTTGGAACTATGGCAAAAATGATTTTTGGTCATTTTTAAATATGAACAATTTAGAAAATCKTATGTTTTSAGACCCCACTGTGGGTCCCAACCTGCACTTTGGAAACCAGTTTTAGACAAATACACACTTTTGAAGAATACACACTTACAAGCCAAGAAAAAACATTTTTTGTATTTATTTAAGCAAACATGTTTTATTCTGCTGCAACTTTTTACTTTTTCCCTGTAGAGAGAGTAGAATATCTTTTTGACAC